CTTCCTAATCCCCAGACCTCAATCCACGTGATTTATGGTGCTGGGGACATTCGAAACATCTGTTTAGGTGTGAAATCCAAGAACTTTACCTGATCTTAAAGCCAGCATTTCATGCCATTTGCTAAATATTTCCTAGCACACATCTCGGTCAGCTGTGGAACATGCCATTTTGCAATACCAGATGATAGCTGAAAATAATGGCCATCGTGTGGAACATGTTTTTTTGTAAGAAAATTTGTAAAATTACAAAACTATTGTAAAAGTGTGGCTGTATGTATGATTTATTAATACCACAATTATCTGATCACTGATTTCATTAGTAGGCAGCTTTGAAATAGAATTTTTTAATTATAGACACTATGTGTAAGATGTCTAGCAGGTATATTTGGATCTAGTGGATGTTTGGTGCTTGTATTTACAGAAGTTACTGTGTTAACAGTGGAATTTAGAGATTTTAGCATAATGGTTTAGCTGTTCCCTCTTTTTCATAGTTTAGACATAGCTCTTTAGTTGTCCATGAATTCCTAAATCTACCACAGGATTCAGGTCAGCAATGTCTTTCCATCATGGAAACTGCCTAGATGTACTTTTTTGTAGTTCAACATGATAGCATTATCTATTCACAGAGCACGTTTGTAGTTTGAAAATGTGTAAGAGATCAATTAACCTCTCTAAAGTCATGACCTCAATCCTGTAGAACATATATGTAGGAATCTCGAGCACAGTTGCATTTCAGAAATATTTGACTAACTCCATTTGTCAATTGTTGTCAATTTGTTCCAATTCCAGGGAGAGCATTGGAGATTTTTCACATCTCCTGCTTCAAAATAATATAGTTAACCCTTTCATGCCGACTGCCAGTAATAAAAATGCTCATTTGCATGCTGGTGTGCAAGAACATTTTCTTGTCCACCTCTGGCTGTCACACATTTGTGCCAGTGTCTTGGAATATTTTAAAGACCACCAGATGGCATCCTGTGTCCATTACTTTTGAACTTTTAGTTAGAAAACAGTTTTAGGATCCTAACCTTTAATTTGATCACATTCTATATAATGTTGGTATTAGTTGTTGTGGAGGAAGAGGGAAAGCATAATGTAAAGAAACATAGCTCGGTTCTTTAATTCACCATCTGATATAAACATTTGTATTTCTGATATCTCTTCAAATTCTTTTTTTATTCTTTTTTCTCTACTATACTATGTTTCTCCACTATACTGCATTTAGGGTTACTGTGTAGGGGTTCTATTATGCTTTTATTGCATATGTTTCATGTACTTTCCTTTTTATTTTAGAAAGCCTTGACTTTAATATGTTGTGCAAGCAGTATTTATTAGAAAATATATATACATGCATGGTAAATGAGCCAATTAGTGACATGGATGAGAGTGATGATTCATTTTCTAAAGAGTTATTTAGTTTCTCGAGAGAGAGAGCGGTATTTCTTTCAAATTCCAGCAAGGGCATTGCACATTATTCGTATTTCTTGTTTTTAAAAACTTACTCTGCACATTGGAGAGGATGCATGGAAGTAATGTCGTCCAATTATGGTTTAATCATGCCAGTCCATGTCTGTGAACACAAGCATAAATATGCCATTCGGACCAACTTATTGATGAAATAGGGTGGATGGACATGAATCATGTAGTAGGGATTTTTCCATTCTTATTTTTTCCCTATTTATTTTCACTGCATTCAAAGAACACAGATTTAAGGAAGCAGAAAATTACTTTCAAGTAATCTAAGATCATATGCTGCTAATCATTTGTAATTAACTATTTCATTACATTGTATTTGTGCATTTATATATTGGTAAAAGTGTCAGGGTTTTCAAAGCTTAATTTTGCTATACAGTCAAAAGTCGTTAATTCGGACACCCATAATCCGGACCTCAAAGCTAAAAACTTTATGCGCATGCGTGGCATTTGATGCTAAAGCAAAGGTTAAGGTTTAAAGAAATTAAACATTTAGCAGTAGTAGCAATAAAAGCTTCCTGAGATATGTTGTGCAGACATTGAAGACAATAAAAGATTTTGAACTTAACCAATTTATTAACAATATAATAAAGAATAAAAACACAAAAAATAAATGTCAACAATATTAAAATTAAACAATTAAAAATATGAAACCGTAATTTATGAAATAAACAGCAATTATGATCTAAAGGGTATCAAATTTACAAAAAGAAAAAAAAAGATAATATTTATTTGTTTACTTTATTAAACATTTCTTTCAATGTAAGTGTTTAATTGCTTTTTCATGTGATAATACTTTCTCTTAATTATCTATTAAACAGACATAATTTCTTGTTTACTTACAAAGTTCCGCTGTTCAAGTCCTATAATTGCTGTGTCGAGAATATCGGCTAATTTGTCAATCGAAATTTTTTCGTTTTCAATAACCTCTGAGTCACTTTCTTCACTATCAGAAGCGAATTATAATGAGGAGGAACTTGATTTAAATCATATCAAGACTGAGTACATCGAGATGAAATACTACATTTAGTAAAGAATTATAAGCCAAATAAAATAAAAACATCTGCTCTGAAGATAAGGATAGTGCTGACAGATCAACTTCCAATTCATTGCGCGCCGTGTCGTTTCCCTCCCCCCGCAGAGCAGCGTGAAATTGATAAACATATTTCGGAATGATTAGATAATCAAAGGATATATGCCTTTATCCATTTTTTGCAGCAATTCCTTTTTTTTGTTTGATGGACGTCGAAACATACTTTCACTTTGTAGATCCTTTGAAAGCTCCAGCATCGGAAAATGTATTCGACATAATCCAAAGTTCAAGCTTACTTTTATAAAATTGCTCTAACAGTCTGCAAAAAATAATAAGCCGGATCCAATTCGAAGATTAAGGAACAACGCAATCTGCAACATTAACTGAAATAAATAATTAGATAGTTTTAGCTTATACCGTCCATTTTACATTAAACGTGCATGCGTAAACGTATTATGCGCATGCGCACATGTATATTCACACCCGTAAAGGTCTTATGCGCACGTGTAAACGCCTATGCGCATGCGTGAATGCCACGCTTTGAGTTTTTAGCTTTGAGGTCCGGATTATAGATCATTCCGGATTATGGGTGTCCGAATTAACGACTTTTGATTGTACTTACTACTGGGATTCCCATTTTACAATGCCGGGAATCCCCATTCTTGTTGTTGCCAGCAGATTTACCAAAGGAATGAGATTAAAAAATGACTTCAAATATATGTATTTGTGTATATGCAGCCGAAAATACATTTTGACCAAGTTTTTGAAATCTGTTAATTTTTAAACCGTGTAAAACCGAAATCATTTAAAACAAGTACCATGTAAATTAAAGGATAGGTAAATATAAAAATTAATGATTATTACAGTTATCTAATAATGATACAATAGAATTATTGCAATTAATTATTTTGATTTTTGTTTGATTTTGGGGACAGAATCTGTATGCATTAATATACATAGTTGAAGTGTGGGGGGAAACCAAATTATTTTTTTTAAAAAAAGAAAGAAAATAATTCTTGCATAAAAGATCACAGTATTGGCAAAATATCAGGGGCGACCCCACTCAAATGTGGTAGGTACCTTTTTTTCTTTTTTTAAAACTACAGAAAGAATATTTCTGCTAAAAAAATGTAACTCCATTATTTTGAGAGATCTTATTTTTAAAAGTAAGTGATACAATATGCACTGTTCACTTAAAATTTGTACGTTCTGGATGGGGGGGGGAACAGCATTTTTGGATTTCAGCATTGCACATCAATGTAAATCTTCATTTCTTTCTGTGAATGTGAAATAAAATCATGAAAGATGGCTGACTACAGGATCACACACTGACACAGAGACTTTACTTTCTCAGTACATTTCCTCTGTCTGGAGAGGAACAAACTTTCATGTTGTACCTCCTCACCTTGCAGCATATAATTAACGCAGCATGCAGCACTTCTGGAGAATCATAAGCATTTGTGAAAAATGGCAGCCAAGGTTGCGTTTGACATGGTAGAATCATGCTTTCTGTTAAGGGCCAACCTCTAAGGATGATAAGTGTAGATAGACCTTTTGAACACTCTGAATATATAAATTAAGCAATATCATTCTTTTGCATGTGGGCACTCATATGCATTGATATGAACTTCATTGTTGTAATCTGTGAATGCATATATTTGTTCCTGGCCTGTGAGTAATAATAATGCACAGTAGAGGAAGCTTCATTGGTGTAGCTTTTGAAGGTTTACATGTGCTCATGGCCTGTGAATAATTAATAGAAAAAGATTAAGCCTTTGTTATTAGGATGGCCAATATAATGACTGTTATGGTTATAGATTAGAAAAAAAATATTCTGTATGCTTCCCCTTCCCTTTTTATAACTGAGTGAGCATTATCATCAAAGAAAATTGTTTTTCTCTTTTTTTTCTTCTCTTAATTGCTGTTGGCTGGTTAATATATCTTTTTAAAAATGAGTCTACTTACACATTAACTTTTTATTGCATATTGGAAGTAATCTGAAAAACTCCACCTCTGTAAGTATCTTAGATATTAGAGCCCATCATGGGAAGATTAATAGGTATTTCTTTATACTTGAATTTATACAGTTGGTTTTCAACAAGTTCAGAAACTACTGATGCTAATTAAATTGAAAAGTCAGCTTTTTAATCTTTGCAGTTTAATAAATACAAACCCATTTTATCTTGCATAGCTGTTAAAATATGAAAAGTCTACCTGTCTGTCTGTAGTATTTATTATTTCTGTTTTCATTCCGAATGTATACAGTGCTTCTTCATTAATTATTTGAAACTAAAAGGCTAGCTCTTGCCTAGCTGTTGCTTGTGGCACTTCTGTAATCTTATTTGTAGTCGATATTGAGTTTCTTTTGATTTTTAGTGATGTAGTGTGTGTGTGTGTGTTAATCTAAATTTCAAAGCATTTGGTTGCTATTTTAAGTATTTATATTTACAAAAATACTGAATTTACATCAAAATTTTTTATGTATTCTTCCCAGGTTCTGTTCACACGAAAGGGCAAGGAACTATTTATATACCTGCACAGAAACAAGTTTTTATCACAGGTAATAATTTTTTAATTTTTTATGGTAGATTATGGTCCTAAGTTGTTTCCTTTTTTTTTTTTTTTTTTTTTTTTTTTTTTTTTTTTTTTTTTTTTTTTTTTTTTTTTTTTTTTTTTTTTTTTTTTTTTATTTTTTTTTTTTTTTTTTTTTTTTTTTTTTTTTTTTTTTTTTTTTTTTTTTTTTTTTTGTTTTTTTTTTTTTTGTCTTTATGTTGCCACATGCAAATTTACAAATTTACCATGATTTGGTCCTTATCAGTTATACAGGATCATATTTTATTGTCAGTAATTTTTTGGTGATATAATGTCTCCAGGGACATTCTTATAACTTTTTGTTATATTATATCTTTATTCTTATATCTGTTTCGTATCTCCAGTTGTTTGGTTGCTAAGAAGTATATCACAAGCAACAGTCATGTACATTTTTTCTTCTAATCTCAGTACGACAATTTTCCTTCCTACTTTTTCATCTTTAGGAGGTAAATGTTAATTAATAATGTCAAGCAAGTATAGCTCACAGAATTTGCCGCTGATAGACTTAAAGCCATCTTTCAAAAGTTTTGTGCCCATTATCAGTCAGGTGATAAAGACCACTGAACATTGGTTGTTCAATTTGGTTTCAAATCCTGACAAGTGAGTTGGTTGCATTGATGTTTTTGTGGTTTTCCCCTTGCATGACATGAATACAAGCCAGTTCCTTTAAACTGTCCTCCACAAAGGCATCCATTTCCTTAGGCTGATAGCCGTCATGTGCTATGCCATGATCCAGAAAATACAATCCAAGAGGTTGGTAGGGTTACTTAAATGTCACTGGAGATATTTTGTTGTCAAAAATGTTCTTTGCAATAAAAAATTGTTGACAAAAGTGATCTGCATAACCGATAAGTTGAAGAAAGAGCTTTTATATTTTATTGACAACTAAAAAATATCTTTTCTAGGTGCATCTCCATCAGTTGTTGATGAATTTTCTAAAATTTTACCACCTTTTGAAGAATGCAAAGATAGAGTTAAAAAAATGTATTCCAGACATAAAAGTAAATCACTGGATTATTTAGCATATAGAGGTATTGATCTTTTAAATGTTTTACTGCAATTTTTCATTGTACTTCCTACATTTGTAATCAATTATTGGTATGATGCATATTAGACAATATTTTTTTTTTTTTTTTTTTTTTAAACATAGGATAAAATATTGTAGCTGTGATACTTCTGTACTCATGTTTGACTTTCAAAGTATAAGATACTAAAATTGCTTAGTTTTTGTTGTGTTTTCAATGAGTTTTTCTAGTTAAAAATGGCCACATTTTTATGCATTTAAAGGAAATAGTATTAACCTAGTAGCAAATTTAAAAGTAATTCTGATAACATTAATTTATTATGCTTAGTGTAATATACAGCAACCTGCATATTCTTAACGTTGAAAGGGATATTTTTATAAACTATTGGATTGCCCCAAGGTCTATTGATGTACAAACGTTGATAAAGAGAATGAAGGAATCAGTCCTGAAAACTTCATTTCTTGACATATCTCAGTCTGAGAATTCATTCAAGTTAGGAAGGAGGAACTAATTGAATGAACATTGTGCAAGCAGTAGTTATAAAGACAGTTATACCAGGGAAGAATGTGCACTGAACTCGCAAGATCTAATCTCAAGAAAATGGGGGGGGGAAGAGCAATTAAGCTGTATGTCTTTAACAGAAAAGTATGAACTAATTGAATATTAAGATAGAAAAAAAAAAAAAACAAAAAAAAAAAAAAAACAGAAAGGAAATCTTAAAATGTGAGGTATATGTTTAAAGTAAACACTGTTTGAAAATAAATAAGAAGTAATTAGAATTTTTTGACCAATTTTATTTTTATATAAAAGCCTGTACCTGTGTCTATTTTCTACATAATTTCCATGAATATTAAGGTACTTATCATATCGTTTAACAAATCTTTGAATCCCTTCATAGAGTTATGCTATCTTATTTGACACCCATTGCAACATGATTGTTTTGACCTCATCATTGTTGTTGTGCCGAAGAACGTTCAGTTACTTCCTTCAAATGCAAGAACAGGTGGTAGTCATCGGGTGCTAGATTGGGACTATACAGAAGGTGATCAGGTTGTTCCCAGTGAAATAATATGATAAGATCTTGAATTCATATAGCCACATATGGATGGGTATTGCCATGAAGCAAAGCAATCCCCCTACTCAGCATGCCTCGTTTTTTTATTTTCGATTGCACGGTGTAGTTTGTTTATCATTCTCAAAATGTTGTAGAATTTATGATGTTACCATGAGGCAAAAAATACACAAGCAATACCCCCTTCCTGCCTCAAAACACAGTACACAAGATTTTCTGGACTGCAGTTTTATATAGAACCCTGGGTGACCCAAGGAAAGTCATCAGGAAATAATGAAATCATAAAACATCTGTTCTGTTTCACTCATTTGTCAATTTTCTGCAGCAAATCTCCCGTAATGACAGAAGGTCACTCCTCATCATGAGCATTCTTAAAGCTATCTTTAAAAGATCTAATCCATTTCTGTACCGTTCTATTACTGATAATGTTTTCTATATACATTACACTAATCTGAAATGAATTTCAGCCACTTTCACAACTTTGGCATTAAGAAAACAAATCACCATTAGTATTTCGTTGGCAAGATTCTCAATCGGCAGAGCCATTTTAAATATTCAAAGACAAACATTAACATGATCGAATGTTTCCATAATGGCACCTGTGGTTTCCAACAAATGTAGGCAAATGATGTACATGCGTTCAATGCTGACCATAGTACTCCCACATCGGAATTTTGAAATGATATTTAATTTAAAAACATGGCTCATAAAATGAAAATTGGAATGAAATAAATTCTGCACTTTCTGCAAGTACCATGGTGTATTAACAGATGACTTGTTGCTAAACCTAGAAGAAACTTATACAATAGAATTCTGATAATCCATCTAATCGTCCAGTTGTGCTTAATCTGTGCCCATTTTTAGATTCAAATTAGCATCATTTTGATTTTCTGAAAATTCAGCATGGCAAATTTAAGAGCAATTTTTCTTTAAATATATATGTAAGTAAACCTTTTAGTAAAAGCACACTAAATTTGCAAAATTTTTTGATTAAAAAAGAGAGTGTATTTTATTATTGACGTTATTTAGCATTTTCTGTGTGCACATCTGTGCTTACATTTGATAATAAACATAGTTCATGAATCTCATCAGATTTTACATTACTGCATAGGTAAATCCGGCTTATTTATATGTTTATTGTCCTTTAAAATTAATTTTAAGTTTTTGAGGCTAGCATGTGTAAAGAATTTATTTGTTCCCAACTTTTCAGATTCTGAACTTAAATCTATCTCCCGACTGGTTTCTTTACATTCTGCAAATATGAGGACAAATTATAATAATAATTCTGCAAATATGAGGACAAATTATAGCCATGAATATTACTCAGATGCATTGTATCTAACTGAATTAGTGAAACGAATAAGTCTGGAAATGATGACTTCTTAACTGGAAAGATAAAGATTAAGGGATATGTTCTGCATGCACAAGCTGTTTATATTGGTGGCAAATAGGGGTAGGTAGATTATTAAAAAAATAATAATTATAGAGATTTTTAATGTCAAAGTGTAAAAAACAGTTTAAAAAAAGAGGGGCTAAAGAATATTAATAAATCCAAACTTTAAATTCTAGAACTTTTTGTTAACTGCTAGTACCATTTTTAATTGCCACGTGCCTGGAATATAATAGTATAGATATAAAATTATAGGAAACCATACTGCAGGGAATTTTGTAAACAGTGTATTTATTTATTTATTCCTTTTTAAGAGCATAAAAATTACTTTGAAAGCAGTATTACTGGTGGACATACTCACTTTTCTGATCGTATATTTTGATGTCCTTTCACAAAAGAGTTCTTTATATCATCAAAATATTTCTATCCCATAGATATTTTCTCCTGTCTACTTTGTTTTCTTATTGCAGTGGCATTATTTTCTTGGTATGTAATTATGTTTAAAAAAATTCTTGTGGTTGTATGCAGTTTTGTGTCGTATAAATCTTGATTAAATAATTTGTAAGCTTTGGGTATGTTTTAATTACTTTTATGCTAGCTCCAAAACTGAAATTTTGCAAACTCATTGCCAGCTTTGGAAAAGATTGATGAATTTGTTAGCGGCTTATTTTTTGCCAACCAATGGTGTTTTATGCTAGTGGTATAAATTATATAGAAGGTCTTCAAAGAAATAATGTCCTAGAAAAATTTTACAGCATTATGTAATTTTACCCTTCATTTGCATTTTAACAAATGTAGTTTTTCAGTTTTAAAATGAGTTCTTTTAGCATTCTAAAAAAATGATTTTTTGAGGAATTTTGCAGCATATCAAAATTTTGCTTATTGAGCTTAACATCAAGTTGGGGCAATAAGGATATAAATGATGAAGAATCCTGTCTACAAACCTAAATCAAGAAAATAATGTTATAAAGATGATATTATATTCTGTTTAATTGAAGGCTACTAATGATAGTGCAATTTTATATATAAAGGTATCTCATAATTGGTTTTCATCAAACACCAATTTATTTTATATGTTCCCTCACATTTTCTAAACACTGTGTAGCGGCAGCGCCAAACAGGCGATACAGACTCAAAAATCTGGAGAAAAGCGCCAATTGGCGAAACAGTAAACCTGCTTGACAACCCTACGGGCTGACGGGAAGAGAAGAATTTTCCCTGGCAGTTCTGGGTAACAACTTCAGTCTGTGTGTGTGCGTCTGTGAAACAACTCGTCTTGTGCCTTCCACATTATATGTAACTTTGATCTGTATTGGGACTGTACGCTTCCTTAAGTCATTATTATGTATCTATATTACTTCTCCTTATTAAATATCATTCTTAATGCTAAATGCCTATCTCAATTAAGATTGCTATTTTTCTAGGTAAGGGTTATCTATACTTTTGTAGGCACGCGTTACTCGCACGTACCTCAACTGAAACATTTTATGGTGAATATATATTGTGTTATACAAGTATGAACTCTAAATGATATTTACTAGTAAAAATAAAATTTTCTCATGTTACAAATTAAAATATACTTGTTAAAATAGCAGTATAAGAGTAATTTTTTGTAAGACATTCAAAATGTGTTACGAAAGTTAAATAATAGATTTCTATTTATTTGACAAATTCTGAAAATATGCACTTTTTACTGAAATAATTTTATGGGCTTCTGGTATAAAAATTATACTAGAATTATTTCCAGTTAATGACGTATCAAAAGCCTAAAAATTATGTTTGAAGAATTTACTAAAATCAATTTCGGATTGAAAGAAATTGAATAAGTTAGAATTTGAAATCACAATGAAAGCTAGTCACATAAATTGCAAATATTAAGCAAAGGTAAAAGGATATATTTATGGAGTGTCATAAGAAGTGAAGGTTAAAATAAAATTTTGATTTGGAAAGACCTTTTACTAATAGATGACAGATAATGTCATTTTCGAACTTCGATAAATACAGTGCTTTATGGCTCTGTAATGCATATAAAATGTACATCAGTAGTCTGCATAAAACTATTATTTAGTGTTTCTGAAATTGAAATGCTGCAGATCATCTGCCATCTTGAAAAGAAAAAAAGATTGAAAAGTCTTTTAACTCTAAAATTATAGCAAATTGTAGTTTTCATTAAGTTCAATTGCTGTTTTCTGCTGTTTTCAAGAGGGACATCCTTGATTTGCTTTTCTTTTTCTCTTTCAATTGATAGGATCGTGTTTTCGTTGTTTTTATGTGTGTTATAATCATTATATTCTTCCTTTTTCTGTTCTCCTTGTTTTTTGAATCTAGGATCATCTGAATCGTAGAGATCCCCCTCACCAACTAGTGATAGTGGGTTTAGTCGCAATAATGTGTGTATCTATGCCTAGACAATTTCCTGCAATAATTCAGGTTAAGCTATTAAACTGCCTTTTCTCATTTATTAATTGTTTATTTGTAATTAATAATTGTTTTTCTTTTGAATTTATTTGATGTGGTTAAAATTGTCTGTTTCTGTGTATTATT